TCCAGCCGTTAACCTAACACTGCCAAGACCACCACTAACCCATGTCCCTAAGTGCCACATCTACATGTCCTTGAAACACCTCCAGGGATGCCGACTCCACCACTTCCCTGGGCAGCCTGTTCCAATGCTTGACAACCCTTTCCGTGAAGAATTTTTTCCTAATATCCAATCTAAACCTCCCCTGGCACAACTTCAGGTCGTTTCCTCTCATTCTATCACTTGTGACTTGGGTCAAACACGTTCCTGTCTCCGTTGTGCAGTATCAGCTGGAGCTCAGCTGAAGCGACCTCCTGTGCTGTGTGGAGCACAGTCCAAACCTATTTCTGCAACACGGAGCACATACTGTCACCAGAACAAATACAGCAACGTAAAAGTTGCTTTCAAAGCCTTTGCATAAAGAATAAGTGGAAAATACAAAGAGGGGGAGGGGGAGAAAAAGCTGATGTGAATTTATCACTGACGTAACAGCAAATCAGGACGCAAATGAGAACTGGGAATTTCTCAGAGAACAAAAGCTTTCGCAATTAGTCTTAAAAATTATTTATAAAACTTAAAAGAACTACAAATCTGAGGCATCTAGCAAAAAATGGTGATCTCAGAAGAAATGCAGCCTTTTTTAAGACAAGCCCACTGAGCTGAACAGCATCTACTAGCCAAAAAAGTTACCTATTACTTCACAAGCCAGATCCCCATGGATTCAGGAGCACACATCAGCAGCTTTACTTATTAAGCACAGCAAATCGAAAATAACTGGTGGAAAAGAAGAAAAGACAGGAAAGAGACACTAACACACACACAAAAAAAACCACAACAACAAAAAAAAAACCAGATAGAACATGAGTTACCAACATACTGCAAATGAAGCAATTACTCACAATTATTCCCTGTTACATAAGCATCCTTCCTAACACAAATGGCCCATTTATTTTTAGGAAAACAGTCACTGCCAGTAGTACCACAATTCTTCTTAACGGAAGTATTAAATATGAAGCCCAATTCTCAAAGCAATGAAACTAGGACGGTTTTATATGGCGCTGTCTTTAATTCACTTCTTATTATCCTCAAGAGAAATATTCATCCCAATTTTCAGCAACACTTTCCACTGATACACATCTTTTCCTCATGACAGGAGCTGAAAAGGAAAAAGAGTTCCAACGGGCTGTAGAGTTACAATCCAAGTTTAAGAGACACACTCCTAATTTATCAGATGGACTAAACTCCACAAGGCTCCTTCTCCATAGATGCAGGATTTCTTCTACTTCTTAATGTTTACTTTTTGCTCTTTCATGGGGATTTAGACAAAATATGAAAAAAAAAAAAAAAAGCCGAAACCCCAGAACTCCTAGACTGCCAGGTTTTCTCCTAAAATTGGCAGCTACAAACCCAGTCAAGACTGCGGCAGCTGCAGAACAAGCCCTTTGAAGTGAACATAGCTTAGATTGAAACTGCTCTGAAGAAAGGAAACAGCAGAGGATTCTTCCTTTTATTTTTTAAAGCTTTTACTCACAAACATTCACCTACTACTATGTGGATAGAAAGAATGTCTCTTCTTTTGGTTAATTAGTAGTTGTTTTTTGTACAAGTCTCAGCCAAAGGAAACTTCAAAGGCCTCACTCGTCAAATGTCACAGCTTGTGCTCAACATGAACCTGCCAGTTCTGACCTGGTTGCACAGCTACAGCTCACGCTGAGCTTGGGAGTGGATCTGTATTATGAAGTAATTGCTAAGCAATTCTGCAACAAAAGAACAAACTCCTGTCGAAAAGATGTGGCGAAGTCACAGCAGTGGGTTAGATGAAAACTTGGACAGTCTGCCAGAAGTATAATCCCAATACATGTTCACGCCTCACATGACAGCATCTTCGTTACCCATTATCTGGGTAACCACTGGTTTCTCTCTTCTGTTTGTTTGGTTTTTAATGTCCTTATCTGCTCATATGACACTTGCAACTTTAAAACAAACAACACAGACTACTTAAGACTGCCTCAGAGTTGAGGTCTGAATTTCATTTTCTGGTTATGATCCATAACACGAATATTCTGTAGTGTTCTACTGCCACCAGTGTGTAAAAGGAAAAGGAAAAAGGTATTAAGCTAACACTGAGGGAAGAACAAAACAAAGAGGAAATGATTCATAAAGGAATGACGCCGAGAGACTACATGAAATATTAAACCAATAAAACATCTGCAAATTATCTTTTTGGAAAAAAAATAATTAACTGGAATGCAACACAGAATAAAGGAAAAGACTTCAGATTCTGCATCGATTTTGTCAGAACAAGAGAAGATCTGCACACTCAGTAACCAATGTAATACATCAAAATTTGTATTAGTGGCATGTATTTCTGACCTATCATGATCTATCAGATACTTCCTGGCAAACACTTCTTGCAAACCCTTAAGGGGCGCAAGTTCAATTCTACATGACTTTTTTCCTCTTTACAACTTCTAAAACAATATTAGGCATGAACAAGATGATTCATGACTAATTTGGAAGGACTATTCATTTTTAATAACCTTGGTTTAGATCTCTCCCAATGATACTGAAAAGAAGAAACCAGGCTGTGCTAGCCCCATCTTTCCCCAGCTACTTTACAGAACAGTGCAATCTGGGGTGTCAACAGCCATCACATTTCCAAAAGGCACAGAAGAGCTTAACTAACGCTGAGGAGGTTAGGAATATGCACTCACATTCTATCATTCAAAGGCTGATCTTGCATTAATTTGGGACAATCTGGGTAGTACCTATCCAAAGGTCACATAATTTGGGAAGTCTTCTGACTTCTCAACACCCTCAGAAATAGATGTGTATCACATTTATCATATTCTTTAAATAGAGTAGTTCTTGGAGAGCAGACCCTCCAAAACTGCATTTTTAAACACGATTAACATTTTTAATTAATAAATTCACCTCAAGTTATATTTCTTGCATTTGTTGTAGCAAAATAGATCTCTGCCATACCAAGAGGTAGTGACCTCAGAATTCTGTTTAAGGACTTTATTATGCACTCCACATCACTATATACACAGCTATACTACAATTTTCCAGTACTTTTTCTACAAAGTCCTTATGTTCTTCACCATTAAAAACACTCTATAATCTCTTCTAAAGTGGTAAGGAGAAACCGAGAACTGAGATACTTTTTTGGAAAAGCATATCTGAATATAGTGTAATGAGTAACTTACTGTTTTACACAAGATCACTTAAAAATGGTCACACACGTTACAGATGTGCGGCAGTATTCCATAAGCTGCTGCTGTGTGCATCCCTTCCCAGGCGTACACATTCTCAAAGACTCTCTCAAGCTAAAGGAGAACTATTTAGTTATTAAACCAGCATGTTCCCATCCCTTCCAATTTCACAGATTTAAGTTCACCGAATTGCCATGATAATGTAATACAGCTTTCATTAAATATCAGAATATTTCACAAGCATATTTCTCTCTGTGCATGAGTGCCCATTTCTCAACATTGCTTTTATGTGTCCAATTCAGTAGTGTGTCAGATCTCTAAAAAAAAAATATCATAGATTGGCACCAAACTAACTCAAAAATAAAAGCTGAAAATCCCAACCAGTCATTTCCTGTTTCAGAAGAGTAAATTTGTCCAAAACTTATTTCTCCTTTCAATTGTTCACAAATTAGAAACCCACATAGGTAAGTGTTCATCATAGTTTTTTTACTGGCAAAACATCCGTTATTTGCCAAAAGCTTTTTTATTCTTCAGAGAAAAAACAAATTTAATGTCACTAAACACTGTTCTAAACTAATGAGTCACAAAATTAGCTTAAGATTTTACATACAGTTAGTACTAATGTGCATGACAGATAAAAACACAGTATGAAAATAAAATATGAAATGCACTAAACCGTGTAGAATATTTTTAATTATGAGGAACTGCTATCTTTAGAATAGAATAGATTATTTCAGTTGGAAAGGACCTGCAGTGATCATCTAGTCCAGCTGCCTGGCCAATTCAGGGCTGACCAAAAGTTAAAGCATGTTGTTATGGGCATTGTCCAAATGCTGCTTAAACACTGACAGGCTTGAGGCATTGACCACGTCTCTAGAAAGCCTGTGCCAGTGTTTGGCTGCCCTCTTGGTAAAGAAACACTTCCTAATGCCCAGTCTAAACCTCCCCTGACTACTTTAAAATTAACAAAACTGCTATCCACTCACTTGTTCTTTGATTTGAGCAACAGTAAACAACAAGGTAGAGAATAATTTACATAAATTTATGGGTTGAAAAATATTTCACCAGACTATTTCAATCCTCTTTTTTTTCCCTCCTAGACAACAGTATCATGAAATATAAAAGATGCAATAGAAAGGGAAGTACAATGCTGAACAAACTCTACAGTACAAGAACATCGCCCTTTACATGTTCCCAATAGGTGGCAACAGAATACCAAAAATATAAAGTAGTTTATAATCCTTTCTTCGTCCACAAAGTAATGGAAGCCCTGTCACAACTTCTATCAATGAACTTGCACCAGTAATTTTATTCAAATGAATTGTTGCATCTCAGCAACAGAAATCCTCAGGACAGTTAACGTCAAAAGCTGGAGAATTCACAGTACAGAAACAAAGCATTTCTTAAAAAGCTAGTTGTGATGAAACAACTAACTGATGGCTTGTACTCAGAGCTTATCTGAGGGAGTAAACTACTACAAGTGGGAATTTACAGTAATAAAATGTTTCTGCACATTAAAGAAGAAGTGTTAAGGAAGAAAGAAAAATACAGATGAATTTTTTGTTGTTGACATCCACACCTTGGTCTTTAGCAATATTTATTCACAAGACTGAATAAAGGGGTGAGCATTTTTAAACAAAGTTTTCAGCTCACAAACCCCACCTTTATCAGTACTGGCAGGTCCATACTAACTCCCCGATTTTGTAAGAAATAACAGGAAATTAGAGTTCTTCTTTCCTTGACAGTTATATGACTATTATTTCTGTGACACAGAGCTATACAAATCAAGTCTAAATAATGACTACTTACTTGCTTTCAAAATCAGCTAAGTCACTGTCCAAAGAAATCGTCTCTGTTGTAATTTCCACCTTTCTCACACTGCCAAAGAAGTCTGTTATCAGAACATTTTGTGGGTCTCGCTGAAAGAGATCAGTTCGGTGCCCAGGCGTGGAAACGCACAAACTTTTTGGACAGACCTGAAACTGGAAACCAAGATGGATAATCACATTCTGTCCCTCATTCATCAATAGTCTCTACATATACCTTCCAAAATGAAATCACTACAAAAAGACAGACAAATGCCACACATAACTTGCATTAATTTCAGTACAAGCTCCACAGCTGAAAAAAAATGATTGAACAAAAAGCATTAAAAGGTGTAAGCATTTTGATTATGTATTTCAGAAAATCTTTATCCTCACAATCATGCTGTTCGACTTTAGAAATGTTTCTGTGAAAGTCAACCATCAATTACATCTAACTGATTAAAAACAAAAATATATTTCAGAATATAGATGCAGCAATGCTGCTACAACCTTCCAAAAAGCACAAGTGGGTATAAATTCTTCATGTTTACCAAAGGGAGGCAGGCAAGATTAAACAAGTCTTGATAAGTACCTAACAGTAAAGGCTTCATAAAGAAGCAAGAATTCACATTTTGATTGAAAAGAAAAAAAATCTCTTAGTCTTATTGCTTGTTTATAGCCTGCAAATTAATGCAGAATTTGTATCTTCAAATATCAAAAGCATTTTATGTACACTAAGTTTACAGAAACATCCTGTAAAACGTACAAATTAGCTCCACACCTTATTATTTATTTTACCTATGTATTTTGCCTATGTATCAGATCCACTATACCCAGCACACATAGCAACACCTGAAGACAAGAACAGCACTAACAAACTGCTTTCAATTGACTCAATTCTGTATAAAGGTACATTTGCAGAAAACAAGTAGATGTAACAGTGGCTGATTTCTTGTATCATTTAGAATACTTGATGAGACAGTATGCCTATTAAATAACAAGATTGTTATGTACCCAGTGGATATTCAAGGCAAAACCAATGCATTCTGGACACAATGCCTTTTTGCAAAAGTCCTACCACGCTTGCCACAAAAGTATTTCCCATCTGGACAGACTCCTCATTTCAAGGGATCTTGTAATGCCCATAATGTAATACAAGAAATAATCCGTTTGTATTTTTATTAATAATGCTACATAGCTTAAAGTGCCATGAAACGCAGCCCAAGGCCTCAGTCTCTCTAGCTGCCTTGATGAGGCTGGAAAGCTGAGTTTGTGTCTCGATCATTAGAAAGCACTTCACATCCAAACACACAACCCTACTAGACACACATCCTGCTAGCCAGAGGCACTACCTCTACATGCTCTGGGCAGTTTCGTGAGCAAATGCTGCTGTCCATGCAACCGTCTCACAGGCAGCCCGCAGATCACCTTGTAACAGTGTAGGTTATGTGAATTCTGGTATATTCCAGCAACACAGAACATTTAATAGAACAGATTAATGTACAGGACTACAAAGGATGCTCTCCACGAGTGCTTATCTTGCTTAAGTTCTTTAAGTGACTTTCACAAACAGGTCCATCAGTCACTGGATCTAGAGCTCATATGTCTAATTACACCATGGGTCAGCTCTTAGAAGATTGCATTCTTAGGAGAAAATCACAGGTCCTAATTAGCTCAATGCAGATACAACCTCAGTTATCCCAGCTTATGACTGACAAAACCTCTGAGTTTCAGTCTGTTCTTCCTAGCAGAAATTCTCTACTCAACCTGACACAAAATGCATTGGGTTGTGTGGCTCCTTCTCTTAGGAGAAGACAGCCCTACATTAAAAAAGTTTCCCTGAGACGAAACAATGTGTCTGGCTTTTCTCCACAGAGGACGGATCCCCATTCCTCCCTTCTGATCCATTAATTTCTCTTTCATACCTTGCCTTTTTTGTCTGAGCCTGTAAGCATACAGCATTAGGCTGCTAGTCCAGAGAGACTTCAGCTCACTTTCACCTTTACCTTAACTGAAGCGTACAAGCACACGTATCCACTGAGCTCTTTTTTAATGATTCTCTGCTCTCCTGTTGGCAGAGTATCACAGAGCTGCTGAAGAGGCAGATCAAATCTTTCTCTTATCGTCCTTGTGAAGTGAAAATGAACTAGACTCATCAGCATCATGCTTCCCATTCAAAGCTACTTGCCAATGCACGCAAACCCTCAAGTTTCAGCTTCACGAAAATTCAATCAATTTTCTTCAACTCTGCTCCAACTAAGAGCACAAACATAAAAACTAAGTCTCTGAAGCAAGCTATAAAAGCTAAGCATTTGTTTTAATTCTGCTATTTGATGCATAAACACATGTGCAGGTATACTGTTAAGTCTCTCTCCAAGCTCTCAAGAGAGTGTAAAAGTCCCAAAATTACTGCATCAGCACTGAAAGTGGAAAATTGATACTGCACCCAACTATTTCTAACCTGTCCCACAACAATTTACAACCATAAGATGTTGAGATGAATCTTGAATAAAAACGGGCAATGGCACTGAGAAGACTTTCATATTAAAAACCTACCTATCCAGTACCAGAGCGAGAAAAGAAAGTCTGCTGTGGAGTAATTCTTTGCAGTCCAACACTAATAACTGAGGTCTTCTGACAAAAAAAGAAGAGGCAAACAATGGCTAAATGAAACACATTTGTTCATATGTCAGTTTTTCCAATTTTTTTTAAATAAGGTCTAAATAAAGCTAAACAATTCCCCAAAAAAGGAACTTTTGTTTTCTTGACTTAACAACATTTTTTGCTATTTTATGACAAATGATATCTCATTTAGAAATTTATTTGAATCTTATTTAGAAGTTCAAATGTGTGACATTTCAATTTAGTCTTTACTGTTTTGGAATTGTGATCAAACCGAAAGTCATCCATTTGGAGAGCTTTATGCTATCCCTTAGCAACACAGATGGAACAGGTGGGGAGTAGGTGGATTATGAAAAAAGATGTCTCATTCTTTGCAAGAACGCAATATCCAAATCTTTGGTGGATGTGAAGAGAAGCTGTTTTAAGAGTGGTTGGAGAAAAGTAAAGAGGTGACGGGATAAAGGCAGTGTAACAAATACACAGTACTTCCAAATGAATAGACATTTGACATATCAGAAGATTCAACAACTAAACATTAGCTAATAATTTTAAAGCTACTTAGTGAGGCACTTAATATGTTACCTTGAGTTTGGAAAGCATTAATTTTTAAAATATCAGACTTGGATAAGCAATAGGTCTGTGTTCTTAAACCAGCACAACACTAACAGTGCACTCTAGTGCCAAAGCATCCCCTGTAACTGCTGGCAAATAAACAGACTTATATCCTTACCACGGACTAATCCTATGTCCTTGTGGAACTCTTAGATGAACCCCAGAAAAGCATCAACTCGAAATCAAGAGATGATGTTTGCTGAAATACGTGCATATTATGACTCAGTACATGATCATCACAAATCATGATATATTTGGGTCCATGCTCTTCCCTTCCCAGCGCAACAATAAGCAGATTGACATATGACAAGATGAATTACATGATGTAAGGAATTTATCAGTTTGGGTAACTTTCCACAGCTCTTCCTGAGTATTTGGCATACAAGCAAAAACAAAAACTTGAGGGAGAATGTTTAGATATCTTCTCCAAAGAGCTCAAAAGGTAAAGTACTTGGCCAGCACACAAGTTTTCTACACTTTTCACCACAACTGGATTAATTTCCAGCTGGCTAGACCAGTTACTTCCCTGGTGGTGTCTTTCTACAGCAGAAACCACTGTTCATTTTTTATGACTCTTTTTTTTTAACATCAATTCATTTTCTGGTTTACAGAATAGAGTTCTAAAGTGCTGTATGAATGATAAAAGATGATTCTTAATCAATAAAGAACTTGCATATCCTTTTTAACAAGATTTATTTTGAAGTTATCTGCATCCCAGAAGATCAGAAGATATTAAATAACAGGGCAGAATTTCATTCCCATGGTAGTAAAAGAATCTTGAATCTTAAGTCACGGAATCAATTCTGTATCAACATTAAATCTGTCGAGTGTGGGCTGTTCAGAGTGAGTTCTACTACATATCTAGCAGCCAGGCTAACACCATCCTCTGTAGACAGAGGGTGGCATAAAACTTCTGAGTAGCTGCTCGTTTTACCGAAATGAATCAAAGACAATGTGCTCTGTAAGTGGTGGCTCTTAGATCATGGCACGGCATGTCAAGATTTGCAGCTACAAGGCACCGAAACATAATGAATTACTACAACAAAACCAGTATTGGAACAGGTATAAAGGGTTAATAGACTAAATAAAACACGGTTACTTTTTATGTCATCTCACCAGTGTATACATCTGTTATAGAGACACTTCATAAACTTTGTCATAGGTTATCTGTTTGGTTGGGGTTTTTTTCCCTCCTGTCTCATATCTGAAAGCCACAATTAAATTATATCTTAGATGAATATAACTCCAAACATTGATGAACTTGGACATATCTCGCTCTGGAATCTAAGCATACACACAGAAAAATTAAGCCTCTGCAGGCATTTGTGAGCGCACGGTTAAAATTTTAACTGTTTAATCATCTTTCCAAAACAGTATCAATGGCTATCTTTTCACATCTGCAAAATATCTGCTCTCCATTAAGCTGATTTTAGAAGCTTCCTACTACCGTTTCTCATGTGCAAATACTTCATTGTATTGAAATGAATATTTAAAGAATACTTTATTCATTTTTCAACAAATAAAAAAAAATCTGGCTAATTTTGCTTAACTTTTTCTGTAGTCAGCAAACCACTTTCACACTGAGGATAATCCTTGAAGTGTTACACTACAACTACATTTAATAATGGCAAAAAGACTTCCTCCAAAGCTGCTTCCAAGAGAAACAGCAGAAGAACAAAAAGCATTTGGAGAACCCTATGGACAAAATAAATTAGTTTTGAAACTGTTAAAGTCATTAGCATATTCATGAATGTTGAGTATTCTACTTACTAGGTCATTCATATTTGTCTGACTGGCTGGATGAATTTCTTCCAAGAACTCTAGCACATAAAATGTGTATCTGTCCATAAGATGAACGCCAATCCCAAGATCGGGTTGATGCTTAAAAACAACACACAGCAGTTATTGGGCATTTGCAGGAGAGAACTCAGTATTTAGGAGAGGGAACAGAATGTAATACCATTTACAAAAGTTAAGCATAATATCTTTTTGTTCTTAGGCAAATTAGGCAAAGACAATTACTAGCCGTGAAGAAACACATTGTTGACAAGCTGAATAATACAGTTTATCTTCATTTTTCTAGACTATATCCTGGTAATCTCCATGTTTGTCAACAGGCAGGAAATCTCTTAACGATCCAGTACAAATTTATGGGCTGCCCCGGGCTTCTTAGGACTTGGATAACAGCTGAGAGACACAGCTTATCTTACAGCACTGTGCAGGTTCAGGTAATCCTGACCTGCTCGTTTTGGTCTGGCTAGAATCCCTCTCCAATCACTCTGTCTGTAATTCAGCTGAGATATAACTACAGCAGGTGAAAGGTAGTGGGCAATTTTTTTGCGTATCAAGTGTGAGAATCATAGGTTGAATATTCCCCACACATATCTCTCAGCAATCTTCCTATAAAATTTCTTCCTATCCTAGGCAATGCATAAATTGGCCAGCAAGCACAGAAATCCATCATTAGCCTGGTTCTTTGGGACAGTACACAAAAACAAGAAGGAAAAGTACATTTACAAGTTTTGTCAAAACTACACTTTGTAACTAAACACCTTACACATTCAGCGATCAGAAGGGAGATTTTTAGTTAAAAGTCAAAAGGATCTGTGCTTTTAACGCAAGCATTTTAAAAATTGTCTTCAGGATGACAAATCTACTTACTGATAAAGAATCTTCTCCTACTTGGCTGCTAGCCAGAGCCATTATATTAGGTGAATAAAATCGTTCATACATGGATGCTCCTTGACAAGTATCAATAATAAACAACAACTCATTGTACCTGAAAGAAATAAAAAAGCCTCCTTACCCATCTCTCTTTAAAAAACATACACATACTTTGCTTTTTAGTTACCAGGACAGCTGATAGGAACCTAAGGAAGAAGAGTTCACACTGATTGATTGCAAGATGCGAGTTTAGTCAAAGCAATACATTTGAGCAACTGTAACTGCAGGAAGCTGAAAACAAAAGTTAAAACTCTTCTTTCTAAATGCAAACTTTCATGCAATTTTACGGACAACAGACAGTATCACTGCTGAAGCTAAGCAAGGCCTACCGGTAAGACTTGAGAGGTGTTTGTGAAATACAGTATTTAATCTCTAAATAGTGCTTTTTTTCTCACCTTCTTTTCTGCCACATTTGTTCAAAGGCATCAGCAAGTTCTACGTTAGTGATTTCTTCAGAATCTTGAAATTTTAGGAAACCATTTCCACCATGTCCTGATATAAAAATCAGAAGTTAGGCAAGTACGTAGGTTAAAAGAAGATATTCAGCCCTGTTGTCTATTTTTCTAAAAAACACCTAATGCAATTCTCTTTCTCCAAACGGACTCCAGCAAAAGAAAATATTAGTAGAGTAAGAAGAGTACACACAAATCATTTAAACTGGAAACTACACTTGCTAAGTACTGCCTTGCAGATTTTTTCTTAATTAATATTACATGCTAAAAAAAAAGAAAAAGAATCCTTTTTGTTGATCCTTTTGTTTGTTTGGACTCCTGATGCAATTTCATGCTTTCAAACAGGCCCATCCAACTGAACAACAAATATCAATAAATTGTATATAAAAACTTGTAATCACCTGTCATATATATCAGAATATTGCTTCTGTCATCAGAAAGAAGACGTTTAGATCGTGGTGTGCTTGGTGGGATTCTTCCTGTTAATACACGCAAGAAATTTTCAACAGTAACCTATGAACAGAAGCATAAATTGATTTTCTAAAGAGAAAACTATTAATTAACAATGCTAAGCTCAGTTACATAAATTAAATAATGGAACCCTAAAATATGCAGTGTATCTAAGCAGATGCAATACTGCATGGTATAAACTGCATAAACAGACATTTTCTGTTTAAGGTTTACCTGCAGGTTCACAATCATATGGTACCTTTACTTTATTTCACTAACATCAGCCTGTTGCTTTATTATATCCAACAAGTCTACTACCATTATAATTTCTAAATACATTTTCATTGATCTGAAAACCTGCCAGCATATACTTATTCTGCCAAAGCTGCTCATGTATTTACAAAATGCTCCAACATTAGTGTGTGTTATCACGGAAAAATAAAAGTCTAAATTCCCTCTGCAAAAAGGAAAAACAAGACCCATTTCCGTTACACAAGTCTGAGTGATCAGGTAAGACCAAGCTGGACGGTGACTGTAAAACATCCTCTAAAACACCACCTCCTCTTTATGCAGATGTATGCAGCTCAACTGCTAGCAACAAACCCACACTCAGGAAAAAACGTGTCTCTATTTCAGTGTTGTACCTTCACTTCTTTACACAAAGCGTCAGAGAAATAAAACACCTACTACATACTTAAACATGCTCCTACAAACCTTTAGTAATGATTATACAGCACTATTAAACCATGCAGTTGATGTCCAAGCTGAGATCAACTGGCAAAGACACTCTCTATTTGAAGGAACATCACTCAAAAAACGAAAAGATTATAGAATGCAGATTTTTATAGAATAAATACGCTACAGTAATGATTAGGTTATGGCTTTTATTTTGATAAAACTCTTAAGATTAGAAATCTAAGTAGGTCTCCCTAATAAACATCTCGCTTGCATGCCAAAAGTTTCACAGTAGTGTTAGGCGTTTGTAAGATGAGACCCTGAACAGCAATTTCTGAAGAGGACATTTCAGTAATATGTGTGTACTTCTAATACATACAAGGAGTTCCATATATTATTTTAACTGTGGAGATTCCATTATTTAAAATAGCCAATACATAACATGTTTCTAGTACAATAAACTTCAAATACAAAAACAAGTATCAAGGGGGGGAGGGGTGTGTGTTTTAAACCTATCAGTGGACAACAAAAGCTCAGCCCAAAACCAGGAATGTGAATAGAAAATCTTCCTCAGAACTCACAGATGTTGTATAAACCTTTAAACCAAAAACAGAGACCCAGTGATTTAATTAAAGTGTAGTCACCTCATAGCTTCTGTAATCCACTTCCACATCATCTCCATAGACATTTAGCTCCATGTTTTTATGACTAAACACAGTAGCTGGTTTGGGATTTCTGGGATTACATGCCATATCATCTGCCAGCATCAGGACAATGTGACTATGGAAAATAAGACAGAAACATTTTAGCCATTCTACTTTCACATAACAGTCAAATGGAAATTACAACAATTACATGCTGTTTTCATGATGTAAAACTTACATTGCATAATGATTCCAGGAATCAAAAAGAATTTCTGGATTCATTTTGGCTTTATTTTAGCAAAATTTTTCTTTTATGAATTGGAGCATTGTGCCCACATGTCAACAGACCAGAGCAACTTCCAGTTATAAAACCACAAATCATTTTCCTAAGGAGTTCTCTTGTTGGAGGACAAACCTATTTAAATCACCGAACTGACACAGTTTCATTCAGAATGAGGCTATGCACAAACTCCTCTAAAAAAAAACAACAAACAAACAACCCTAAGAATCATGATAAACGTTTAAGATGTGATTCAGGGTTGGGTTTTTTTTTAGTCTTATCATTATTTTGAACAAAGTTTTACAGCAAAGAAAGAAAAACAGGTAGAGGAAGAAGTTTGTCTAAGGGAGAAACTCACTCAAATCCATGTAAAAATTGCTGCAAATGGGAAAAAATAGGCACGTGCTCTCTCTAGGCCTTTGCATTCCAAAACAGCTGGATGGAACTATGCCAACACCCCTAGAACTTCCAGTAGGAACACAACTAAAGACATTTCAGAACAGTTTGTTCACCTTGCTAATCCTGTTGTCAAAGAAGGGACACTATGTTACCCATTGTGCTACTGCTAGTGAAGCACAATCTGTATGGACAAAGCTTCTGGATTCTCTAAAAACACCATGCAAAATGGATTTTTCAAGGCTACTTTCAATACATAGGAACTGCGTTGTTCAGGGCCTTTAGTTTATAGACTCTCAGTGTAGTTACAGACGTGGAAGTCTTACATTTTAATACAGTCAGGGTTACTATCATCTCCACACTGAAAGGAAATTAAAGTACAGCAAAAGCCCTATTTCAGAGTAGTATTGTCATTGCTGAATGCATTAACCATCTTCACATTACGCTTTCACAAATTTCCTAAGTGGTACACTTCAGTGGTTGAATTGCTCCTCACATTTTCAATCTAATTAGCCTATTCCAACTGGAAGTTTTATTATACAACTTGTTGCTTTTCCTTTTGAACAATATTGCTGCGCTTTTCAATACACTAATGTGATTGTATTCTCCGTTTTCAGTTTTATCCAGTTAAACTGGGAAGAGAAATGTATTTTTATACTGCTTCATACAAGAAGAGAACTTTAGTAGCACATTTGCAAGGAACTGTATTCACCAAGATTCCCTCACCTATCAGCAATGCCCAGTCTCTTGACACTTCTGTATATCGAAAGAGTATTTGCCACATGACGATAATTAAACCAGAATCGAGATGTACACACCTTGGAGGGGGGGAAAAAAAAGCATTATTAAATAGCATAAAGATACAAACTGGCCTAGCACACTGCATCAGAAGACTGTGATTACAAAACATCAACAAACTAGTAACAAACCAGAAAGAACACAGCAACATCAAGAAAGGCATGATATAAGCTACACAAATATTTGTTGTACCAAAGCAACAAATGTTGAAAATAAGAATTAAAAAAAAGTTCTTAACATATTGACTCATGAAAAAATTGTCATAAAACCCAGATAAGTATAGAAAGTGGCACTTTGGGGAATGATTCAGCAATAGTGAGTGGATAAGCTAAATTTTTCCATTTGCTTTCTCTATATCAAATGATAGAAAAATCAAAATGAAGAGTTCTCCTCTGAATAGCAAATGCATTTGGGATCATTCTTGCACAAAGGCACAGATGAATTCATGCAGAAGCCACACGCAGGGGAAAATACACTGAGGACGTTTGCATTTAAGGAGTCAAATCTAACAAAGTAAAAGCTAAATGAGCTCTAACTAAAATCTGAATGCAAATTCTCAAAAATCTCAAAGGAGTTCAGGTTCTACCATTTTAACATGCAAAGGGTTGGGGATCAGCCATTCCTGTACTTAAACTATTCCCTAGGTCAGGTATTATTTGATCTGTCCTCAAAAATCTCAAACAAATGAGATCTCAAAAACTTTCAGAGGCAATCTGCTGTAGTTCCTTACTAGCCTTAACATTGTCCTAGTGTTTAGCTCTCGTTCACTACTTTTTGTTTCTTCCACACCAAGGACAGTAATTCTCCTTTGGAGAAAAACTTCCTTTGCTTTTACAAGCCTCGCAAACAGACAAAGGAAGAAACATTTTAGAAAAGGTGACTTTAAAACCACAGAAATAGAGAAGCAGAAACAAGCATTTAAGACAATTTAAAATTTTTAGCTTTAAATGTACAGCTCTAATTTAAACAGAAACATCTTTAAGTTACATTATGTAACATCTTCTCTGTCCTGTTCATAAAAAGAAATGAGCAACAGCTTTAAATAGTAATAACAATTCAGCCTGAAAGGATCCCCTTGTGTCTCGATCATCCCGTCAGACAGGAATTTCAAAAAAGCCCACAGGAATCAGTCCATGGGAACATTTGCCTTTCAGCAAGATTTAAAGCTCTGAACGCTAACTGTGGCCAATCTAGCTGTGACATTCCAAGGTATTATCATCTGCCCCTTTCCTCCATTACCTCCTCTACAACACACTGGAAAATGTGTCTATGCTTTAAATATAGTTATTCACACTGCAGCATTCAGACTACTGATGAGGTGGGACTGCAGCACAATGCCGGGCTTGAATTCCCTGAGAGCAGTAAAACCCTCCCTGTTTTACTGCTTACAAAATTAGTAGCAATTGTTATAAAACTTAACCATGAACTACTGAACAAATATAACCAGCAGAGAATCTGTTTAGGACAGAGAGCATAGCTCTTTGGACCTACTTTTCCACATTCTTTGGGCATTTTCATGGGTACTAGTAAAAGCACCTATTTGTTAATAGTATTACAGAAGTACTTGATGTTTTAATAGTTTCAAGTTTGTTCACTGTAGAATATAGAAATCATTCCTTCTAACTCAATTAATTGCTGTTAACTTTCCTTTTATATCGCCCAATTTTAGTATCTGGAAAATAAACAGCTGCTGCTGAGTAATTACAATAGTGTTCTGAAACAAATTAGTCATTAAGACCTGAATTGTGATTAAGAACCAATTGTGCAGCATGATTCAAAGCTAATAAAAGATTCATGGCAAAGAAAAAAAAAAAAACAGGATAAGAACAGTTGATCTAAACATTATGTTGCCTGAATTTATTTTATTCTAAGACCGTTGTCACAAGTTAACAGATTGAGTAAGAACAAAAATCAGAAATAAATTATACCTTTCTGGTCAAAGAGATACACCTCTCTGATACCAGAATTATTATTTAATATATAGTATGGTAATATAACTGTTTTAGTGCTGTCAGAACTTTCATTTCATGAATCCTGCCATGTAGCTAGATGTTTTGAGTGCTTGAAATACAGTCATACTGGAAAGTACTATATTACTATAGTGCAATAAAATTGCAGGCACAATTTCAAATTTATTCATTTCCAAGTCTTTATCTTTAAATTTCTTTCAAATGAACAGAATTATTTAGTGATTGGTGCAATTACAGCACCTGATGAAAAATTTTCAACTTTATTGAAAGAAAGCAACCTGGACCACACTCACCAAAACTGCCCAGTTATTGGTATGTCCACTTCTAAAGAACTGTTCTGCTTGATCCTGAAAGACGGAGAAAATATTAGATGTTTTTCAGCAATAAGAAAGAAATGACAACTCATGTTTTTGTTTCCACAAAACGGTGTTCAATGCATATGCTTACCACACCTTAACACTGAATAAACCTTACAAAAGCTTCAGGAGAGGTTCAAGAAAGCTTTCTTAATCTGTTTTGCACATTTCGTGCAAGTTAATTGCTCCAAATCCTTCTCTGAAACTTACTAAATAACAAAGGAGAAAGATTAGTCACTTGCAGCTTAGTTAAAACAAAAGCCCACATATCTCTATTGCAAAGGACACTCCAAGATCAAAATAAAATAATTTATTGACTTACAGTTTCTTCCTTAACAAGAAAAAAGGCTTAATTTCTATTTTCATTGTTCCTCTCATCTTTCCAAAAGTAGGTAAGTGAATCCGCAATTTTAACTCATTTTAAATCCAAGGTGGTTACATTTATCTTCCAAAATCAGGAGCTATGACAACAACAACCTTCTCTATAATCTGTATTATCCATAGTTTCCTCTGTGCTTTGCAGAAGAGAGGGCCTTTTTTTCTTTAACAGATAGTGTAAATCAGGACACAGAAAGGGTATAAGACTTCTCAGAGGTAAGGGAACAGGAAAAGAATCCAGACTTGCTGATTCTTAATCAGACTCTTAACTCCCTGAGGGGCTCTGGGCTGATGCCTGTGATCTCAACAAAACACACAGTAACAGAAGTATTTGTTAAAACATATGTAAAGCGTACTGCACTTCAAGTAGCAAACAATTTGCAGTTTAACTAGTAATCCAAAGACTCTAAAAATGTTTCTATTGGCTATTTTTTGTCCTATTTGTAATTATATTTCAAGTACAACAATTTGTTAATAAAGCAGAATTCAAACGCAAACGACACTCCAGATGTACTGTGGGCACTGTGCAGAAAGCATAATTACTCATTAAATGACTCCCACCTGCAAAGAAATGTTAGCTCCTTCGGCACGTAAATACCCCACACCTGTGAGAAGGGCACACGGCAATCCGGCCCCGGGCAGCTCGGCCGCCCGTGAATCACAGAACGGTTTGGGCTGGAAATAACTTCAAAGATCATCTGGTTCCAGCCCCCGGGGTTTCCACCCGAAGCGGCTCCCTTCACGCAGAGCTCGGCCCGCAAACGCCAAGGAACGCAAACCGCCGGCTACCGAAAGCGACAGCGCGTACCCAGAGAGAAGCCTTGCTTCAGAAACCTGCAAGCGTGTTAAAAGACAGTTTTCTTTAAACTTTAAACAGTTGGGCTGTGTTACACGTGCCTGACGATCCCCGTCGGTTTCGGGACGCACCGCGTTACATCT